TATGGTGATGGAAGACGATTTGACTTTGGGTGGTGGGCACACAATGCAATACACAGATCATGCATCATAGGAAGGTACACTTGAAACCTATATAACCTTATTAATCAATGTCACCCCAATAAGTGTAATAAAACAAAAATAAATGAATAAAAATTAGCTATATATATTAGAGAACTTGACTCGGTAATAGATGATAAAATATCCAATAAAAATTCATCAGAGATCACCTGAAATCTTTCAACTCTTCTTTTTTTAAAAAATTCCACCAATAAACTTGGTTATAAAACCCTGTCATTAATGAAATTTACAAATTCTATGAAGTTAAATCATGAGAACATGTGAGAGGTTTAAGTTCCAGAAGTTTAAATTTCAAAGGACTTCATATTATTTTACCCTCGTCTTTTAAAACAAAAACACCAAGGACTTTTCCTAGGGGTAACAATTTCTTGGCTATTCTTTACAAAATTTCAAGAAACCAACCAAAAACCTTTAGCAATAGACAATCTATCTACCCTTAAGGAGCATTCACTGTGTCAGCCATCCAAGAAAAGCTCAACGTATTCATGCTTCTGTGCCCTTGTATGTTTTTTTAATAACCTAATTTCATGCCATATCAGGCAGACATTCTTCTAAAACCAGTTTTCTCAGCCACAGAATGGCAACATCACAATAAAATACCAACAGACCATTTTTCAATTAAAAGATTTCACAGTAAGACTTCTCCTGTGAGCACACGTATGCGGTCAAAGCACGGGTTGTACTGACCAGCAGCCTGACGCCCTTTTCCTTCACAACCCTCCTGCTTGAGAGCCAAAGCAGTGACGTGCAGGTGGAGGGAGATGCGAGCTGAGCCTATGAACCTCACGGTTCCATTTTAGAGTGGGATCAATGGAATGAAAGACTCGGTTCCAGTGTGGAACTGGGAGGCACCATCTGGCAAACTGCACTAAGAGAGCTGGAGCAGACCAGGGGAGGCTCATTGCTGGAAATATGTGCAAGAATGACTTACCATAACCAATGGCCACTAGGATGAAAATGCTGTCATTTTGTTCTTGCCCTCCGTACAATTCCTTAAATAATCTAATGACTGTGACATTCTGTCTAGTCGACCAAAGCATGGGAGCAAGGGCACATGGGCACACACACACAGACCCTCACCCGCACAGCACCACACACGCAGGCAACTTGTAATTCTCCAGGCCCCACAGAAGTCTTCAGTTGCCCTGCCTGAGGATGAGCCTCTACAGTAAGAAGGGAGGCCAGGGTCAACTTATGGGTGAGGGTGTCAAATCAAAATAAAATGTTTTTCAAATAAATATCTTAGTAAATGTTTAATTAATACCTTCAAATTTTTCACTCCATTCTATACTAGTACTCTCCCCAGTCCCTCGTTTTTAATAATCTGAGCAAATATTTAAGAAAGCTGCAGTGGTTGGTTGGCCTGCTTTGGCTTATCTCACCCAGTTTTGTACTTTCAAAACACGTATGCACGCAAGTGTGTGCTCTGCCTGTTTGCAGTCGCCTTCTTGTTCCAGTTACGTGATTTCCTAACGCCTCCTCGTTTCCACTCTTTTATTAATTGCAATTCTCCTTTTTTACTCTCCTTGTATTAGGTTTTGTTTTCATTTAACTTACACCTTTTAAATTTTAATCCATTTTAACTCTCTTTAGAAATAGGCATGAAATGCATAGTATCTGTGTGCCTGAGCAAAGGGAGGCAAACAGGGAAGAACAAAGAATATGTCTTGTTTTAAATAAGCACTCATTATTAAAGAAGAGTCTGGTCTCTCCTTTCATATTTTATTCTAATATTTAGTAATGCTCCATGAACTGGAGACTTCCTCACACTGCTGTATTATGAAAAATCAAATTTTTGGAAAACAGAGTCATCTTTTAAGTGCATTGGCAATACTCACCAAGGTTAAATGAAGTGCTAAGGAATATTTAAGTATTGATCCTACCTCCTTGCAAAAACAGATTCATAATTTCAAATATTTGCACAGAAAGTTTAAGTTAAAACAACTATAAGGAGACTATACTATTTGGCAGGCAGGGGGAGGGCGCTTTGGTTGTAAACAGCAGCAATTATTACATCCAAATGTGACACAGCATTATAGTTACCCCCTAGGATCTAGTGTCGTCTTCTTGCTTTAACAATAGACCCCTGTCCTGAGATGTATTAAGGAGTAAAACATCCTAGCCTGTGACTATTTCCTGCCCTCCCTTGTAGCAGAATGGTCATACGACTAATTCTCAGGAATCACATGCAAAAAAAAATAATGATCCCTGAAATGTCTACCTCCTTTCTTTACAAAGAAATTTCTTGCCTTTCACTATACTCTCTTCCCCCTTCCACAGGGCAGATACGGACACGGTGGCGGTGACCCAGCTCCAAATATGGAGACTAGAACAAGACGTGAACATGGAGATAGGATTCTGATTTCCCCGCAAGAGGTCTGGAGATGAGTTGACTGACAGTTCTGAGTTATGTACATCTTAACTCTTACCTGACCAAAATAAACTGTATTTGTAAGACTCTTTGTCTTACAGTAGCTTAATTTGTATTTATACCTGTTAATTTAATAAGATTTATTGAATAGATTTATTGAAATTACATTGGGCAATTTATAAAATTATTAGTAATGTTCAAAACGGGTTTGGGAAATAGGGATTAAAAGACATAGGACACAACCAAAATTCCCCCACAGGCTGGTGAGGCCATTCCTTGCCTCTGAACACTCGAAACTGTGGCGGCCAACCACAAACGCTCCCCAAATAACCTCAGGTTTTAATCACCCTTCTCCAATCCACAGTTTAGATGCTAGGCAGACAAGAATGACAAATGTCCCCCCCCCAGTCTCCCTTTAGACATGAAAGAGTCCCACGCATCATTTTCCTCATTCTTATGCTTAAAAAACATATCACACTAATACAGCCATCACTCATAAAACTGAAAATCTCATCTTTTTCTCGAGAAGAGGAGGATAAAGCTCTGTGAGCCTCTGCCTCTTATACAAATTCCAGCAGCCTTTTCTGCTTTAGAGCAGATGACCATTTCTTTTCTCCATAGGGGGCAATTCCCTCATGTCATGAACTATGAACAAAGGGGTCACATTATTTTTAATAGTAAATCTGATATTAATAGAAGGAGTTGAATGAAAAAGGAAATTAGTGAAGTGTATAAATACGTACTTAGCACTCTAAGGAAGGAAATGGAGGTTGATGTTTTAGTCCCCATTATCTGCAATTACCCTAAGGCCACAGCGGCTATAAAAACTTCCACCCTCCGGTACCCATCCCATATCCCCATTGATTTAAAACAACATGTCTGATGGTCAGAACGCTTACCCAGGACAGAGCTGGATGGTTTACATTACCTCAAGGAAAGGTTGTCATTCATTCTCTGATCTCTAGTAGCTGTTCTTCAGCAGCACTGGAAAAAAAAGTCATTAGCTGCACGCCATGCCCCAAGGGCTTTATTGACTTGTTCTAATAAGGAGACCACGTATGGAGTGGCAGCTTTAATTGGTGTCATCTCCTGATTAAACTTACAGTTACTAATGGGCTCTGAAGGGCCACTCCACCTCCTCCGCTGGTCAAGCTGGAAAGGTAGATGGGCACACGGATGTGATTCCCACACACGCAGCTTTCAGGTTCTGCATTATGGGGCCTCCCTCAGCATCTGGACCATAAGCATTTCTTCCCATCGAAAAAGTTTATTTTTGCTTCTATGTTTCACGTATTTTTAAATCTCACATAAAAGTTGTAAAAGAGCACAAAAATCCTCTGATGCTCTTCACTGGCATCATTTTATTCTTTCTTCCCTTTCCTTCTTTCTCCTCCTTATTATATTCTGTCCCTTACTGTTATTTTTTTTCTTAACCATTTAAAAGGAAATGGCACCCCTAGATACTACAGTGTACATTTTCTTAAAATATGGAATTTTGTTAAATATCCATGGAAAAATATATCAAAATTGAGAAATTAACATGAATGAGACATTGTCTAACTTCACAGACATCACCAGATGTTGCCAGTTCTACAATCAAGTCCTCCGTAGTAAAAGCAAACAGATAACAATAGCACAGACAGTTACTTCATAGACCACAATTCGTGTGTGTTTGATGGTTCCTTATGGTTAGATTCAAGTTATGCTTTGCTGGCAGGAAAACAATAGAAACGAGATTGCCTTTTTAGTGCCTAACATCAGGAGGTACATGCTGTTGATTAGTCCAATTACGGGCAATGTTAACTTTTTTAGAACAATAAACACCTTTATTACATGCGCTAAGACAGGAGGGAGGAGGATTGATCTGTTTTCTGGGCCTTGATTTTCCTCAGCTGCGACCCCAGCTCCTTGCCCCCAGCACACGGCCATCTGCGTGGCCACACAGGCCTAGCCTGAAGCGAGGCATGCGAGATGCTTGCCCTGCTGGAAGTGTTCCTCTAGAAGACTGCTGATCTCGGTATTGCTTTTTCTTTCATCATATTTCTGAATTTTCTTTGATCTTCTCTTTGTTTAAAATCTCTCCCTCCTCAGGATTCAGCTTGGTCCCTGCCTTATGGCCCCAGGCAGCGCCTAGTGGGACTCACACCACCATTGGCGTGGTGTGCTGTCAATGAGCACAATGCAGCGCTCGACCAGGGGCTGGTGTGGACCAGTTCATTGTCAAATGCATATAGACAATGTTGACAATCCTTGTTTTGCTTGTACCACCCTGGGGGCCCCAGGAGAAGCTGCATCTTTCAGCCTCAAAGCTCAGTACGTATTGCTGTCTCCCCTGCATGTGGTATATGGTGAGGGCCAGTCTCAGCGTCAGAAGAGCGTATCCCAGTTTATATTTTGCTTCGTGTGCTAGGGTTTTGTCTTGCCCTGGTCTCATGGTGCTTGCGCATGGTTGTCCTGAGAGATGCCTGTATGTGGGAGTTGGGGACAGAATTTTGAGCCACTTGGATGCAGAACTTGCCTCCCCAGCTCGAGAACCCCACACCAGGTGGGCAGCATGCCCAGATCTTCCAGGCTGGCTTCCCCGCTGAGCGCTCAGGAGTTTACAGCAGCACTAAGGTGCTATCATACACCTGTGGCCCAGCCCACGCCCCTTCCTGCCACAGCCATGTTGCTGCCCCTCGCAGCCCTGTCAGTCAGCAGCCCAACAGCAATGTTCATTTTGACTATTTGGTCCTAACATATGAGCTATCCTGGAAAGTGTTTCATGTGTGCTTGGGATGAATGTGTGCTCTGTTGCTGCTGGACAGAATGTTTGTAAACGTCTATTAAGTCCAGTCACTCTGACGTGTATTTTGATTCCTATTTTTTTTAATTGATTTTTGTCTGAATGATCTATACATTGTTCAAAGTGGGATATTGAATCCCTTACTATTATTGAAATGTTGTCAATTTCTCCCTTCAGGTCAGCTACTATTTGCTTTATATATTTAGGTGTTCCTACGTTAGATGCATAAATGTTTATAAATGCTATATCCTCTTGTTGGATTGACCTTTTAATCATTTTATAACGACTTTCTTTGTCTCTCATTATGGTCTTTGGCTTAAAGTTTATTTTGTCTGATGTAAGGATAGCTACCCCTGCTTTCTTTTAAAAAAAATTTTTATTGTTGTTAATTATAGTTGTCCCACATTTTCCCCGTTGCTCTCCCCTGCCCTCCCACAGGCAATCCCCGCCCTGTTGTCCGTGCCCATGGGTCCTCTATACATGCTCCTTGACTTGCCCCTTCCCTATTTTCCCCCATTTTTCCCCTCCCTCCTCCCCTCTAGTCACTGTCAGTTTGTCCTTTATTTCCATGTCTCTGGTTCTATTGTGCTCACTTGTTTGTTTTGTTGATTAGGTTCCACTTACAGGAGAGATCATATGGTATTTGTCACAATCCCTGCTTCTGTCACTTAGCATAATGCTCTCCAGTTCCATCCATGCTGTCATGAAGGGTAGGAGTTCCTTCTTTCTTTCTGCTGTGTAGTATTCCATTTAGAATATCTTTTTCTATCTGTTTACTTTTCGTCCCTATGTGTCTTTTGATTCATTGAAAGCATATTTTCGTTTCCATTATTGAGGACATTATTATCTTCCTTAAAATACTTTCTTGCTAATTCTAAATTCTGAGTCATCTCAAGTTTGGTCTTCATTGTTTTTCTTTGGACAATGAGCTTTATTTTCCTAGTTCTTCATAATGTCAGCTAATTCTGGGCATTAGCTATTCCTTTAAGGAGATTCTGGGTGGTTATTTTTTGCTGATGAGTGCTGGTTTTTTAGGTTTATTTGTTTGTTTGTTTTAGCAGATATTTAACTTGGTTAGATTTCAACTGCAAATTCACTCTTGGGAGTTAGCTCTAATCTCAGATAAACCTTTTTTGGCTGAGCTTTCTTGAGCCTACTTCAACAATGCACTGCACCTAAATCCTCAGAGGTAGAGGCAGACATGAATCAAATATTCCCTCTCTGGCTCATTCTTATTTGGAAATATTTCTCCTTCTCCAGTGCCTATGTTTTTCCCAGTCTACATTTGCCTGTTTCTATAGCCAAAAAGACTGTAATTTTTCCACCAGTGCCCCTAGCAAGTGCACCCTCCCCAGATTTAAAAAAAAAAAATCATAGACATCTCACAGCATATACAACTCTTGCTCTTGCTTCCAAGCATGGACTCCATAAAATCTGCCTGCTTCTGTTCTCTCTCCAGCAGCCGCCTTTCATATTTCTTTCAGGTTTTATAGTTGTCCACAGAAGAGTTCATCTGGTTGAGCTTTCTTAGTCATTACTGAAAGTAGAAATAACAAATTATACTTTTAAATACTGTTTTTGTTCCATTATTCTTGTTTTTTTAAAATCTTCTTTAGAACTCCAATTACACATATGTTCTTTTTCTTTGCTTGTCTTTCATTTTCACCACTTTCTTTCTGACCCTTTCTAATGTTTTTTTCATCTAATGTTTATTATTTCTTTGTTTTCCTGTTTTTCTTACATGCCCCTCATGCTGTTTTCAACTATACTTATTCTTTCTTAGGCAACTTGTAATTTAATCTCCATTTCTGATACTATATTATCTTTTTAAATTTCCTGAATTACAACACTCTAATTTATTAGGAGAATGTTCATCTGTTGATCTAGTTGGGCTTTAATTTTCTAGGTTTTTTAAAAGTAAATAGATAGTTAGAGAGGCAGACAAGCTGGCTGTTTTTGCCTCTCCGCATTCTGTGGACAGGGCTGGTGGTTGGGTGGTTTATGAGATTCCAGGTTCAAAAGCCCATCTTCAGCCAGTGTAGCAAAGCGTGGTCTCTTTACCAATTTGGGAGGAGGGAGCAAGGTGAGAGAAAAGCCAAGCTAGTTTCTGTGTACCTTTTTATTTTTACTTTTTTAATCTTGAAACTTACTAAGTTTTCTCCTTTTGCTTATTTTTCTCTTTTCTGGTCGGTTTCCAAAAGCCCCATCCATTCCCTCTAACCCTCATTTTCCCTTGAAATATTTTCCCAAGACTGACCCCATAGGTCCTAAATCACTTTGAACCTTTTCCTATAGACTGAGCTCTAAAACAAAAATTCAAATATTTTTGTATTTGCGTGGACTTCCTTTTAGGTAGTGTTATTTTTAAATCAATTTTAGAGATGCCATAAAATCCCATATACTCTCTTTAGTGCAATTTTTCCAGAACCATCTTTGTATTACTCAAATTATGTGACAGGAACAGTGAGTAACAGCTTGGTAGGATTTGGTGTTTACTTTTCTACTGACAAGTAATTTAAAGTTTGGATCTTCTATGTCTTCTAATTATGCTGGAAGTATGGGTTTTATGTAATGTTTTGTTTATTTGTTTGAGAAGTTAGGAGTGGTGCATCTATGTGCTCACCACTGCCTCCCCTACATAAAATTTTATATTTACTATAGTGCTATGAAATGAGAGCCTTTATTACAAACACAGTGCTTACTGTATGGATCAGAAAATGAGTGTGAGAACTCTTACTGTTGCTGAATATTTGTGTATCAACATTTAGCAACTAGGAAAATAACTTCTGGATGAGCTCAGAGGTGGAGCTACTGTGAGGTAGACTCTTGTCAAATTTCCATGTGTCACTTGACCCTTTAACCTCCAAATATAACTGAAGTGTCTTTATGGGTTTCTTTAAGGCTGTGATAAATACCCCCAAACCTCTAAGTGTTATCCTGTTAAATGGCTGCAAGTCCCTTTAAGGAAGATGGAATGCAGATGCACATGCTCATGACGATGTTGAAAGATTCTTCTTCACGGCTCCCTTGGCGTCCACTTCACTACAGTTTTGGAACCAACTCACATCTGGGAGTTGGATAAGGAGCTATGTCTATGAATCAAGGAGGTCTCAAATTCTTTCTTGCTTATATTTTGTTTGAGTTAAACAAATCAAATAGCAGTTTAGTGAGTTACCCCTAACGTCAGTCCCCGGATTCAATGATCAGAAAGTCATAATCAAAGCTCACTCTGGGTCAGGACATTTCATACCTTCTCGATGATGCTTCTGGTGAGTAGATGCCCTTTCCTGTGTCTGACGTCCTGCATACTTACAGCACTGAAACCAGAGAGCCTGTCTCCACATCACCAGCTTCCACCAGCATCATCAGCCTACAGAGAGTGCAACAGTCGCTCCTGATCCACGGTTTCTCCTTCCGCAGCTTCAGTCATCCTTGCTCAACCTCAGCCCAAAAAATATTAAATGGGAAACTCCAGAAACAAACAATTCCTAAGTTTAAAATCATGCACCATTATGAGGAGCGGGAGGAAACCTCACGCTCTCCCACTCCATCCTGCCCTGGACGCGAACCATCCCTTTGTCCAGTGTCTCTACTCTGTCTGTGCCTCCTGCTCATTAGTCACTTAGCAGCTGCCCACTTATCAGGTCAGCTGTTGAGGGATTGCAGTGCTTGTCTTCAAGTCAACCTTATTTTACCTAAGGAAGCGCAAGAGAGCAGAAAACTGCTATGATGGCAATACAGATATTCCAAAGGGAAACCAGTATGTGCTTCCTTTACATAAAAATGTATGTATGTATAGAAAAAAAATTATTCATGAGGTTCAGTAATACCTGCAGTTTTAGGCATCCATGTGCACCCCATGGCTAACGGTGGGCTACTGTTCCATGAAGATATTATTCAGAAATGCTAGTGTTTCCTTCACAAGTGACATTTGAAGGCCTTATGAAGGGCAACTCTTCTCTGCCTTCTGCTACACTATAGGTGGAAAGTGAGTGGTGACTGGATAGCACACAGTAGGTTCACTCCATCACAGCACCCTCTTTGTTATGCAGAAGAATATATCGCCTCTCAAGTTACATTCAAAACTTCCTCTGCTATTCCAGCATATTGAATCCAGAATCTCTTCTGCCTCCCAGATTTTAAAATAAATGAGCCTGATCTATATTTATATTTTTTCCTATTTGTTCTCACATCCTTGGAATCCTTTCCCACACAGACTGCTCAGATTTTTTGTGATACAAATTAACAACGAACTATAATTTTCTTTGTATGTGAGAATCCTTCAGATCCATGGGAAGATGCAGTCTGATTCTACCTAAAGTTCTGCACAAAACAAGAGGTTAGAGGGGAATGAGGAAAATTGACATCCTTCTGCAAAATAGGCAAGGGAGACATGGTATCTTTAAGCCAAGCTGGAACAGTCTTTTTAGGAAAATGAACTTGTTTCAGGTGGCAAGGCAGACATAGCCAAGTTGGGAAGCTTGGGGAGGTTCATTTCTTTCAAATGTTACCACATGAACAGCCGTTCTTATTCTCAAACACCCAGATTCTTTCTCCATCAGTGTTCCCAGAGATTTGGAAACATTGCACATTTAACTAATGTTGTAATGTGGCATAGCATAGAATCCTCTGCGTTTTTGCTTTTCAGCTATGACCTCAGCACTGCAGGTAGAAATGTATAAAACATATTATTTTAGCAGTCATATAAAGTTTTTTGGTTTTTAATGTGTGTCTTGAGACAAAAATGTAAGGACTTGAGCTGCTGCTTCTTCTTGAAGTTCTCCAGTGTTATTGGATGTGAACACCCCACGCTGCATTCTTTGAATAATGCACATTCTTTATACTA